AGCAGAGGGGCAGGATCCCCTCCCTGAGCTGCTGCTCACACTCTGGGGCTGCACCCCAACATACAAGCATACAATTTTTAAATAAAAATTGACTCTTCTATACAAACCCCTGCAGGCCAGGACTGTAAATGATGCTGCTTTATACATGTGGACCTCAGTGGAGAGCGGAAGCATCCCACACATCCACTCCAAACCAACCAACCAACCCCTCCAAACTAATAAGACAACAGATCTCCTTGCTGAAGGATGGAAAAGCACACAAATGTTAACACTTTCTACCCAATATTCAGTGCTTTGCTGAGGGAACTCACCTGGTTATGTCCTCTGTCAGCTGCGCAGGGTCTGGAGGGTAAAACTTGACATTGAAGGTAAAATCCCAGGGGCCTCCTGCAATTACAAAGAAGAGTTTGAGAAGAATAAACACCCCACAACAGCTTCATGACAGTCAGGTTAAACTCAGCACAATACAAGAATCAATCTCTGGATGCAACCAGCACTGAGACAGGAAGAGCTTTACGAGCCTAGACCTAAATGCTTCAATACAACAAATCTTGTACAAGCACTAACTGGAGCAAGAATCCCCATAATCCCACCTAGAACTGGCATTATAAGTGGTCTGGACAGTCCAGGTGACTGGAGATGCTCTCATTTTCTGGAAAAGAAACCCATTTACCCACAGAAAATAGTCCTGACCCATTAAGCACTCAGAGTAATTCCCACAGCTACAACTTCCCCCTTTAACACTTGCCCAACATGATGTTTCCTTCAGCAAGAGGACACAGCCCTGTGCTTGACTTGCTCAGAGACTGATCCCAATCTCAACCAGGGAAGAGGGGGGATGTAGCATTCATGGATTTAGAGCTTATGCAACGCCACAACTGGGATTAAACTCAAGGCATGTTGTTTTCATCACACACAGCTCAAACCAAGTTATTCCAAGAAGACATTTTAGGTAGCAGAGGTTACCTAAACCAGCAGACAGTGGTGTACACATGTGCATACATACATTCAACATACACTGAATGTATACATTTGCCACTCAATCCATCTCAGGGGACCAGATTCCACAGGGAACTGGTTGCTCATTACACTTACTTACTGAATCCTACCTGCACAGCACAGCCTGAGCAGCTCTTGCCCTTTGAGTGCTATCAACTCAAAGAGAAGTTGATGAGAGCAGGAGCTTTTCCTGCTCCACAGCCCTGCAGCACTTCCCCCCTCATCTGCACTTAAGGACACGCTTTGTTCTGCACCCCTCCAGGACATCTAACAGTATTGTACTGTTGTGAACCAGTATTCCAGTTTCATAAAGCAGTATTTCACTTTCATAAAACAATATTTTACAATCATAAAACAGTATTTTACTTCCAAAGGAGCCAGGTTTGCTCCTGAGAGAACACAAAAGCCTTTACAATTTATTTAACTTTGACACTACCTTCATCTTGAACTAATTCAGCGCCAGCAGACCTTAAAGTACAGCTTTAGAGAGCATCTGGTATTTGCCCTGATACTACTCAAGCTATTTATCATTCCAGTGCCCCTATTTGGACCCCAAAAGAGCCTCCGAGTGCATCAAACCTTGCTACAGCACACAGCTTTCCTCAGGCTCTCCCAAGCTTCTTTGAGATTTGCACTGTTCCCACTGGCACCTATTTTCCCATCCTCCAACAAGGAGCAGATCTCCTGTTCCAGGGTCGCATGGTAGCAAGGACACTGTGGATTTGCACAGGCGGAACACACCCCAAGCTGTGTCTTCCCAAGGAAATGACATCTCTTCCTAAACCTTGAGCATCACTAAGTACTTAGGAAGAAGGCAAAGGATGCACACACAGCTTGAACTTGTGCTGATCCCCGCCAGACACCCTCACTTGAAATATCACCCTCCTTAAGCCCCCTGGGATGCCCCCCAAAGCCACGCTTATTTAGGGAAGAAGGGAGGAACAAACACATCCACACGATCCATTCCCTCTACTTACCATGAACCTGTTTCTTTATTTCTTTGGCAGGATCCAGCCACGTCTGCAAGAGGATAAAAACATTCCCAGTTTAACAGAGGTCCCAGAAACATCACAGAAACCTGAAAATCCCTAAAAATACAGCGATGGGACATGAAGGCAGCCATGGGAACCAGAGAGACAGGGCGATTCTCACAGCCTAACCTCCAGTGTGTGGTCTTCGTGGGTGCACTTCCCACCCTTCATCTACCAAGTACTCACAGGGGAGGCAAAAGGAACAAGAGAAAACCAATAGAGCAGCATATCATGGAGTCATAGAATGGTTTGGGTTGGAAAGGAACTTGAGACCATAGAATCACAGAATGGTTCAGGGTGGAAAAGACTTTAAGATAATCTAGCTT